ACGGATCTAATAATATTGTCCAGTGACACACAACAAAGAAGGGAACGGATCTAATAATAATATTGTCCAATGACACACACAAAAAGGGAACGGATCTAATAATATTGTCCAGTGACACACAACAAAGAAGGGAACGGATCTAATAATATTGCCCAGTGACGCACGACAAAAAAGGGAACGGATCTAATGATATTGTCCAGTGACACACAACAAAGAAGGGAACGGAAATTGAATATAAAATCACCCAAAAAGAAAGTAAACCAAAAATAAACAAATGAATATAAATGTAACAAACTTGGTTAAGAAAATGGCTTGAAATAACAAAGTGGATTTACAGTCCGGCATGTTAGCCACCGGCCCCACACTCGAAGGTCAAAGGCACAATTCCAACAGTTAATTGAACATTTCCTTAGAGAGACTGCACATAAAAGCAACTTTATGTTGTACATATGTGCTGGTAAATTGTATCTTTTTCTGTTTTGTAACTATGATGTACAAACTCAAAAATAATGCGTTCGCATCTAATTCCATCAATTCACATACAGTTTTCTCAGAACAACCAAGAAAATCGGTTTTCTGAAATTATATACACCGTCAATTGACTTAGAACAATTATTCAGAATGCGTTAAAACATTAGTAATTTATTAATTTTTATACTTATAAATCGTTTGACTTGAGTTGACGTAATGTAACTATTGCTCAACTTTAAATTCGTCCTTTTGGGGGTCTTTTTTTATGGCCAGGTGGTTAGGGCGCTCGACTCGCAATCTGAGGGTCGCGGGTTCGAATCTCCGTCACACCAAACATGCACGTCCTTTCAGGCTGGGGAGCGTTATAATGTGACGGTCAACCCCCTTATTCCTTGGTAAAAGAGTAGCCCAATAGTTGGCGGTGGGTGGTGATGACTAGCTGCCTTCTTTCTAGTCTTGCACTGCTAAATTAGCGCAGATAGCCCTCGTGTGGCTTTGCGCGAAATCCATAACAAACAAACAAACTTTCTTTTTATGTAGTTAAAGTGAAGTGTCGCGTTAAAATTCCCCAACTTCTTTTCAACATTATTGGAACTAAGTTTTTACATTTCAAATCGACTTTTTTATTCGTGATATCACTTTTTATTTCGATTTGTTTTGGGATTAGTGTTGTTTTGATATAACTAATATGTTCTTACGATAGTTTCTCGGCGCGTGCCGACCATAAAATGTCTTTAAATATAACTATGCTATTAAACAAATGAAACTTTAAAACGTGCACAGTTTCAACAATTTTATTTGTCATTCATAGCGACTTCTATAATTAGTCCTAGCTAACGCTGAGATTCCATTCATTTTAAGTGACTCTGTTTAAATTTACATATTGTTCGAATACATAGTTCTTCGTATTAGAATGGCTTCTTCCTTATAAGTACTTCAATATTCTCGTAAACTCACAATCTCCCTGTACTTAAGCATTCCTGTCCTCTATTTCATTTTAAGTGTGCTATTATAGGGTTGGCACGTGTTTTGGTTGAAATGGCACATTGTCTTTTTTTATTCTTCTTCATACCAGATGTGTTAGTAGGCGAGTGCAAACTAATTAGTACAATTTTATGATCACAAATATTTTCAAGACAGATGAAAGATGTTTAATAGCTCTCCTTTAAAGAGTTATAGTAATTCATAAAATCTTTAGTTTAAGAGAAAAACAACATCTTCTCAGGCTAACTGCTTGTTGATTTTCTGTCCCGTCAAAATATGTAAAGTTAAATCAAAGATTCGGATATATTTCACCAACTAACGTTTTAACGCAAAACCAAAACGCCATTATTTTGTGACATTTAAGGTGAAGTTTGAATATTTTGACATTCAAGTGTAGAATCATAAAACATTGATTTTTTTATTATTATTTACAACTGATTTTATGGGTCAACCTGAACTAAATGTCTACACGTCACTCTATTACTAAGGACAAGGGAAAGACCCTACAAAATGATTAGAATGTGCTTTTCTAGATGACAAGTTTTATCGTTATCTACTTTGGACAAGGTACACTACTGTGTAACAATCTCGTACAGCATCAGTTTCTATAACGACACACACTTCCGAAAAGCCTTAATAACAGAAAGGAAATATTGAAACTTAATGTCTTCCCCCAATGAGCCTTAATAACAACAATTAAATATATTAACTCTTCGCTATCCCTTCACACATACACACACCTCGAATGAGTCTTAACAACAGCAAGTGAATATGGATTTTAACTCTACAGTATCCTCCCCCCCCCCACACACACACACACGCTTAATAACGGCAAATAAATATGGTAACTTTTCACAGTTTTCATACTGAGTGCAATTTATGACTGTTGAGACTTGAAACATTTTGTCTTCAAATTTCGCGACTTGTTTCTTATACGGTTCGCTAACGATGGTAGTCCTTATTGAAGCATATTAGGTAAATTTATGATTTGTTTGTTATAACAGTTAGGGTAAAGAAGTGTCCAAAGATTTAGTTATATCACTCGCTTTCTATGTAAAATATATAGGGAACCTCCATATTTGAAACTATATAATCAACAAATAACTTGATGAATACATAATTTAACAAATGCGTCTTTAAAAAGTGGTTAGGGTCCCTCCCGATCGGAAATTATCGTGATTTTTGTTTGTTTGTAGTTAAGTATGAAAAAAGATACACAATGGCTTATCTGTGCTCTACTAACTACGGGTATCGAAACCAAATTTCTAGCGTTGTAAGTTCGCAGGCATACCGCTGTGCCACTTGGAGGAGAAGGGAATCTCGTGAATGCTTTGCTTTCCTGATAAGTTACTCCATATTTAATATGTTTATTTTCTATTGATAGTTCCTGGTGGTCCTCCATTAGACGTTACTGTTGAAGCCACTGGAGCCACGTCACTAAAAGTCGCTTGGAAGGTATTGTCAGTTGCATTCTTTTAATTTATAATAGATTAAATAAAAATTACACCAGTTTAATGATGAGGACCAAACGAGTCCACGAGTTAATACAAAGGTTGAATACGTTATATGAAAACCAATTTGGAGCTTCATCGCGTTGTTACAGTCCAGTTTGCCTCGTCTAATCATGCTTCTTGATAATAGCCTTGCAGTGTAGTTTGCATTGAAAAAGATTCCACTGTAATGCTATCATGACCAAACCACACCACTCCCCATATTTACTTTCCATAATCCATCTAGTGTACGAGGTCAACGGTTTCCCAACAACCGGTGACTTGATCAGTTTGTTTTTGTACAGAATAATATGAACTCCCATTTCATTTTCCATCTGCTTGAGGTATGAGTCGGTTGAAAGGATATGTTGTGGAAGCAACTTGTGTACATGTGACTTGTGTCACTTTCACAGACAAAGATTCTTCTTGATTCTGTTGTGTACTGTTACCTGTGACACGTGTATAGCATTTTCTACTGAGCTTTGTATTCGTGGGTTCTCACCTGTTACAAGACGCTACACACTGTTTACCAAGGCTGGAGTATGACTTGTAGCAAGTCATTTTCTGATTTAGTCTTGGTGTCCCAAGTTGATCCATATTTCATTGCTTTCCAATAACATTAAATACAAGGTATATGCCTGTCTTGAAAATTCTAAAAATTCAGATCTGAACACATCTTTATTATCTTAGTGTATGAATATTTTGCTTCGGGAAGGAGTGTTACATACCTTCTCCAAAAACGATTGGTTTTCGATGGGTTCATACTACCTACAACGCCAAACAATGTCAAAATATAGTTTTGATACGTTCCGTTCCATCGTGACTTTATATCGGCTGTGATTTTCACGTGACTTATTGATTGGCGTATTCAGATCCGTTTTAATATAACGTATTTAACCCTCTCTATCAGATTCACAGTGAGACACGGAATTTCTAAAATTCAAAGTCTGAGATCAATTTTTCGTGCAAAACCAAATTTCTGCAATAAGACTGTCGTGACGAAAATACTAGTTTGAAAAGTACATTTGAAACTTTGTACAGAATCTATCATTTTTAAGATCATGCTTTTCAACAATATGAAAAAATGTTTTATGCAAAATATTTTACAAAAGCGTGAACTACGTCGTTCTTTGGGTAAGATATTCATCCAAAGCTGCAGAAGGTTTATCTACATTAACCGTTTTTAATTTTAAACTGATAAACTATAGGAAAAAAGATAGACAACAGCACTCACCGTCATCTCTTGTGCTACCCTAATCAAATAGAGGCCTAATGACCTCAAAGTATGGAGCGAGATTTTTACTGTTCGAGACGCAAACCACGGATTCTCGAACTTACAGTGAGATTCGCTAACCACTAGGCTACACCTGAACGATAGTTCTTGGACTCAATAGCATACTAACTCCTAATATTAAAGATCTGAAGTTAAATATACATTTTACATATACGTTTGAAACGCCTATAACTTCTTGATTAGTACGTTTTAAGCCTTAATTAATGTTTTCATTACCTATTAACGAAAATATCCGTTTTAGTGGTTTCATCCAAGTCTTCAAAGCTTGTAAAAAAACTCGTTAAAATATTGGTGAATTGAGCTCAAACGTTTCGTATGTAGCTTTTAACACCTACTTCTGCTTCATTTATTTGATTAAGTTTTATTACGAGTTTTGTACTAAAATTAATAGTCAATTTAACACTTCTTTTTCACATAAATCCATCAAAATGTTTTAAATAGCCCATTTTAGGTTTTATGAAAAATAACTTAGTTATTGGTTACTAATGGTTTGGTACTCGGCTCGCAATCTGCGGGTCGCGGGTTCGAATCCCCGCCACACCAAACATGCTCGCCCTTTCAGCCGTGGGGACGTTATAATGTTACGGTGAATCCCACTATTCGTTGGTAAAAGAGTAGCCCAAAAGTTGGCGGTGGGTGGT